AAAGCAGGGCCGGGCACGGTGGCTCAGGCCTGTAATCCCAGCATTTTGTGAGTCCAAGACAGGCGGATTACCTGAGGTCAGGAGTTCCAGACCTGTTCGAGACCAGCCTGGCCAACATGGAGGCACCCCATCTCTACTAAAAATACAAAAATCAGTCAGGCCTGGTGGCAGGCACCTGTAGCCCCAGCCACTTGGGAGGCTGAGGCAGGAGAATCACTTGAACCTGGGAAGTGGAGGTTGCAACGAGCTAAGATCTCGCCACTGCACTCCAGCCCGGGAGACAGACAAGAGACTCTGTCTCAAAAACAAAAACAAAAACAAAAACAAAAGTGATGAAATGATAAGACATGTGGAGAAGTCACCTTGCTGCTTTCCTTTGTTTTCATCATTTTGAATACAGAAAAGCCTTATGTTAAATTTTAACAAAATTCAAAGGCTGAAATAAGGAAGAAAAACGGGGTCCCTTTTAACATGCTATCATGTACTCTTAGATGACAGAAAGTTTTATGTACCCTCCTTTTCCTTTCTAATCTTGAAATTTTTGGAGTATTCATCAACATAATTGGAACTAAGATTTTATTTGCTGATCAATTTTAGATAGTGTTTGCAAACTATATACCTGAAATGGTGGAACTGTTTGCTAACAAGAGGAAATACACCAGTTCCTATGAAGCACTCAAAGGAAAGAAGTAAGTAGTGTTTTAAGTATTTCTACAGTTTAAGAAATTCTATTAGCCACGTATCTCGTTCTAGACATCTGTTGTCTGGCTTAACTGTAGAACCCAACGTGAATATATCAGTAACATCCTGCATTCACTAAAAAAGATTGTGCTAAACTAAATACCATAAGAAAATGATATTTGCTACTTGACACAAATTGCTACATAGATGCCCATAAGAATACTAAATCAACTAAAATGACAGATAATGTTGTAATTCACTGTCAATAAATATTATTGATTATGGCACTATTTGTACATTCCTTTTCACTAACTTCTCCTATAGTCATTATCAATTGTCTGACTCATTTTCCTTGTATGGGTAACTTATGGCTAATTTTACATAATGGATAAGATTAAAGCCATGACTCCAATTTAAAATAATTAGTTTAATTCAGTTGTCTTAGCCAAAGCTCCCCTAAACCATCTGGGGCTCATTTATGGTGAGGATTTGCCCGCCTGAGAAGTTTCTACCCTGTCTTCTGTAGCGCCTCCTAGATGACTGATTTTTTTTCCATACCACAGCCATGTGTTCCCAGGAGGAAAATGGAGTGGAGTTGTTTTTATATTATTTCTTCTTGGATTCAT